ACAGTCATATCTATAGAGTGAAAAAAAAACGAATATTTCTAGGGTACAGTTTCTGATCTACTTTGTTTAAAATCTAGATCTACTACGATCTACTTTTGTTGTCTCTCTTAGCTACAAATGCACTTTTATTCCATAAATTTGAGTCTTGTCACACTACGGCTTACGCTAAAAATTTATGCGATTGGACGGAACTTGTTTCATCCTTTTTCTTCGTAGTTTTATTATTGTATAACTAAACATTTCGATTAATTAAAATCTTCGTCAGTAGTTGACAATATAGAACAACATGCTATAGAACAAACAAAGTTTAGAACAATAAAAATCTAAAATTAATAACAAGACTTTAAAGCTATAACATTGAAAAAAAACTTGGGTCTTATTTATTTTTAATTAATTTAAAATAATCAACTCTTGCTTTGATTCTCAGATTATATTTGGAATTTTCTGTCCTTAACAATGTATTCTTAATTTCCCCTTTATCCTCTTTTTTATTATTTTGACTTTCTTTTTCCTGAATTTTCTTGTATTTATCGTTCTTGCTATAAATAACTCCCGTACCTTTCTTAACCCATTGAGCAATTACTGGTGACCACGAATGTGATAGCACTAGTTTTGTGAAACTCCACTCCTTTGTAAGACGGTAGGAGTTTAATTTTAGATTTTTATTGTTCTAAACTTTGTTTGTTCTATAGCATGTTGTTCTATATTGTCAACTACTGACGAAGATTTTAATTAATCGAAATGTTTAGTTAAACAATAATAAAACTACGAAGAAAAAGGAAGAAATAAAAGATTTATTAAATTTTAGCTTAATCGAATAAAATTCTGACGCAGTCGTAATGTAACATGGTCAAAAACCGAGTTTTCTGACTTGTCTCAAAGGACAGATCAGCAAAGTCTTTTACGTAGTATATGAAAAATTCACTGTTATGTTGTTCAAACGTAGATCACCGAAACAGTTTCGTGAAAGAGGCTGTAGAAGAGAAGAGGTGACCTCAATTGACGATACATGTACAAATAATAATCAAACTACATGGACATATAATCAAGGTGTAATATTATCTGGCTTAGCACTATTATACAATGCTACGCATAATTCAACATTGATTAGTATTGCACAAAAAATAGCGGATGCAACAATACAACGATTAACATATTCAAATGGAATATTAAAAGAACCATGTGAACCTACGTGCGATGATGATCAGAAACTATTCAAAGGTATATTTGTTCGCCATTTAGCTTATTTATTGTTTTATCTCACAGATACGTTTCATATACAAAAATATACTACATTTTTACAACAGAATGCAGTGTCGGTTTGGACTATGAATCGATGTGAACTGGATGGCTTATTTGGTCTAGTTTGGAATAATGATTCGTGTAATAGTTGTGAGTCATCACGAGATAGTGCTACGACTTCAGCTGGATTAGATTTGTTCATAGCTGTTGCAAGTATCAAACAACAAGCAGCAGTATCGTCGAACTGGAAATTACTTGGTCAGGGCAATTGTATAGATGATCAAAATTTTACTATGCCAAATTTTTATAGAAACGAAGTAAATGAAACTGTTTGCCGTATGACGGCAAGCGCGGACAGTGGTGCTATTGCATATGATTATCAATTAAACTGTGTCGGAATCGGGTTCTGCCGCATACGTACATTGTCTAGTCGAAGTCAAACACCTTCAGGATGGACGTATGAAAATGGTATTGCACATAATGTTACACGTACAGATAAAATGGTACTTACAAACTGTTTTCTAAGGACGAATTCGACATAGTGGTGTTATTTATTTAAAAATTAAACTTTTTTGAATTGCACACTAAAATTACTATTCATTCAAGAAACGATGTCTCAAGTTAAATAACAAATGGTCATTTTGTTCAGATTCATCGATTACTTTTAGCTGTGCCTTATTACTCCAATCTCTTCTATGTATATCTTTCGTCAGTGTAACTATAATATCAGTGTATTTATTAAATCATCATTTGTTTATCACATTTCTATATTAGTTCTAATTTAATTTCAATTTTAGCTGTTTGTTTGTATACAGTTATTATTTTTAGACAGTTATTATTATTTTTTAATTATTCATTTATTTCTTTTGAAATTTGCATTATTAATCCTGCGGCACGCTTACAAATGTTTTTATATATTTTTGTCAATAGTCATAGCTGAATCATTTTCAATAATATGTTCAGTTTCTGTTACAGATTGTAGCATAATTGTTTGAAACACATCATTTGTGATTGTTAGATCTATAATTCATTTCTTTCGGTTTGAAGGTAATTGCTACTGTGTTCAATGTGTCTAAAGGATGGCCCAGAAGTCCTGACTCGATTTGTATAATAATTTTTCTAAAGTAAAACACATGTTTGTAAATTTTTCTCTATGATGAAAAGACTCAGTAAAACACGCTCTACAAAATGGCTTTTGATTGACCCCGCTAGCTCATATAGTAAGAAAGTAGACTTAGAAATGTGCTTCACAAAAAAGAAAAATTAACCATGAACTCTCTTCGTATGGTAGTGCTTTCAGTGAAAGTCTCGTGACTCCATCAAAACAAAAGATTTTTAGATCGGGTTTGTTCTGTTTTGATCAGAAATGATTGCTCTTCTCTACCTAACTGCAAAATCAAACTTCGATCACGTTTTCATTCTCGAGTACACCATCTACTCTGAGAGAAATTTTTTACAGACCACGAGAAAGAGTGCATTCGAAAGTAGCAAACATAAACTGGGTTCTCACTTTTGCTATGCTTTTTTACGTAAATAATTGAAGAAGAAAAAGTTTGAGCCGAAAAAAATACTGAATTTACAAAGTTTTCATTTTTCTGCCTCGCGTATAATTTGCTTAGTTTTCTTGATTGAAGTTCTGAAATTAAAGTTTAGATATGATTTTGTAGAGCATCGCATGGCGCTTCTATTAAAAGAATAATTTGTTCTCGGGGACCTAAGAAACAGGAGTTCAAGCAAAAATACCGAGATCGGGTTCACCGTTAGTTTTTCTTTTTTGTGAAGCACATTTCTAGGTCTATAACTTTCTTATTATATTAGAAAATTTACAAACATGTGTTTTACTTTAGAAAAATTATTATATAAATCGAGTCAGGACTTCTGGGCCACCCTTTATCTTCTACGTGATCTGCATGCATTACAAAAAGTGAATTTCCACATACTACTACGTCATTTGAATGACATTTTTCGTATGATTGCCTTGAACATAATTGATATTATTTGTCTTACGACAATAGATATAGCATATTTCTATAAAGCTGTTATTACTTATTATGTGATGTTATTAGTTTTGTACATGGTATACTAAACTTCTCGCTTATTTTTGGTAGTAGTGGCGATAAAATTTAGACAAAAAATTATCTTGAAAAATCGCTAAATCTTTGAAAGAATTATGAGTTTCTGACAGTATTTCGATAGAAAGAAACATTTGTGACTGACAAACCAGAGTATCGGACCTAACTATCTGTATCTGTTTCTCTCACAATACAGTCTACATATTAGTTAACCCATTTAGTAAGATACAAAACTTTTAGTATGCATTCGACGTCTAATCATGTAGTACTTGTGTTCAGCTGTCGTTTTTTCATTTGATAGTTTGATAATATAGGCTGTTAACGTTCCACCTTGTCTAACATCGGTGATTGATTCAAATTTAGTTGCAGCCGGGTTTTGCAATGATAAATTATTGAAATGTTTGTGTAATTTATAGTTTTAAATATATAAGATTTGCCAAACTCTAACGAGCTAATTGATTTTCGCGAATTGTGATAGGAATTGAATCGATTTCGTCACCAATGAAACATCTCGTTTAGCATTTCTATCTTTTTAGGTTTTCGATCATTTTTAACACAATACTCGAAATAAAGATATAAAATTACGCAAATATTTCGATAATTTATCATTGCAAACTCGGACTGCACGCTTAGTACAAGAGTCTCTCGCCAAAAAGTCTGACCGAGGTCTCACGATTCACGCTGCTATTATTCCATTGACTGTAAGTCTATGGTCATACGAAAAAAAGTTGGTCATTCGAAAAAGTAGAAAGTGTTTGTGTGTGTGTTTATTTGTTTGTCCGTACAGAGGTGTGACGGACGTAAGCACACACGGTGACGGACTTACATACATATAGTGACTAGTGAGTGTGACGGACGTACATACATATAGTGACCAGTGAGTGTGACGGATGTACATACATATGGTCATGTGGCAGTGTGACGGACGTACATACATATAGTCACTGACGAGTGTGGTGGACATAGGTGCACATAGGTCGATGCGTTCGAGTTTTCTGTGGTAGCAGAGAAGTATA